AACGAGGAGCACAGCAGTAGTCGCAGCAGTTCAAACAACCCGTGAAGCAGAATCCACCAACAACAACTCCGGTCACATAAGGAAAACAGGTTTTTAGCTGTGTTACAACAGTTCATGCAACAAGTTCAGATTTCGACGAGGAAAAAGAAAATTCCACCGAGCAACCTGAGAACGTAATCTTACCGCAGGTCTATGCTAATCTCGCTCGGGTTATTGCAGGACCAAACACTGTATCTTGACACTGGTTGTGGTCAACACATGTGCTCTGTCGAAACGATTTTCATCACACATCAGCGTCCTCTTCGACGTCCAGTACCTGTTACAGTTGCAAACGGACAAACCATTATGGCAAGATCTATCAGCAGCGTCATGCTGGATTCTGTCGACACAGGTTTTTCCTTACACGTTACGGATGTCCTCATCATCGCTGGACTTGGTTTCAATCTTCTTTCCACCGCTCAACTCCTGCGACATAAAACCAAGACACAAGGAAATTGTGAGACCATGGACCACGAACTTTATCACAACGACTCTAATACTTACATTGGAAGAGCTACAACTCAGTATGGAGTCTCCGTTCTTCAATTCGAATCGCAAGGCATTTCCGGAGATTCAGACAGGGTGGTATCTCTTGGGCCTTGGCAACATCCTGAAGAAACTGACTTCCAAAAGGTTGAAATAGACTTCCATGCAACTGCAATTCCAACGGGATCTCGTGCAGCCGCTGCAGTTATAACGGCTCTGGATTCCTAGCAAACAAACACAGCCGAAGAAGATACATCAACATGGCGGAACTATTATGAAACTTTACAACAACTCGACAACAAACCTGAAATACTTTGGGGACCGAGCAGCAGTATTGAAGAAGAGGAAGCAGAGTAGCAGAGTAGCAGTGAAGCAGATACAGGGGTTCTTATCGGTCAACCTGCAATAAATTCAACAGAAACAAAAATCGAAGAAGGAGAGTTAGTTCTTCAACCAGCAGAAGTTGTCAATGTAGGAATCAAAACCACAAAATTACCTCTTAATCCCTTCGTTCCAGGACAACTCGACGAATCACCAGCTTTTTCTCATTTCCTCGTATCTTCATTTTATACTAACGCCGATTTCTATCTGCGATCAACAGGACACAAAGCGGCAGAAGATATATGGCATCAACGGTTAGGACATCTTTCTCCAGGGATTCTTAATCATACTATACGATATTCGGTTCTTGATAAAAACAGCCTACTCTTACCGGATGGAACTGAAATGAAGCTGTCTTCACGACCAGTAGTCTGCACAACATGCGCAACTGCTAATCTTCATCACGTTCCATTTCCAAGTAATTTTCCGGGATCAACACAATACACACTTATGCAAAAAGTCTACAACGACATACTCAACTTACCTGAAGCAGGGCCAAAGGGGGAGCTCTATATGATTTCTTTTATTGAAGCTTCTATCCGATATGTTTGGATGGTAAACATACCAGCTCGTCATATGGCTCACTCAATCTTCGTCGCGTGGCTCGCGGTAGCTGAAAGGGAATCGAAGGAAAAGCTTCAAGAGTTTCAAAGCGACGGAGCAGGAGAAAACACAAACACCAACGTCACTGACTACCTGCAAACCCTAGGCATCAAGCGCCGAGGGTCCTTGCTGCATCAACATCAGCAAATGGGGGTAGCAGAAAGGATGAACATGCTGTTACAAGAGAAAATGCGAGTTTTGGTGACTCAAGCAGCATTACCACCTCATTTTTGGACTTACGCTTTGGATCACGCAGTTCTGCTGCACAACTTGATGTCGACGACTTCTCTTCCGCAATTTTCCTCGCCACATCTGAAGTGGACAAAAACAGTTGGCAATGCAAAACTTTTAAGAGTTTTTGGGTGTATTGTCCCGTACCAACCTCCAACTGCAGCACTCAGGAATTTTTCAGAATGGGCTAAGTGGGGAATACATCTTGGCATTGAGAAGCAGTTTTACGCGTGGAAAATTATGGATCTTCGCACGAGTCAAATTGTACCAGCACGTGATTGTTTTTTCTACGAACGACTTACCTTACCTGTTTTTCGTGCTCACCAGGCTGCAGCTGCCAATCCTGCCAGGCTGTTCAAAGGCTCTTGTGCTTTTGCTACCGACGAGGTTGAAGCAGATGTACAGGATGAGTCCATCGCTGAATCTTCCGAAGCTGCAACAGACATTCCCATGCCAACCACGTCAGCTGGAACTGCCGAATTCATCCCACTCAGCGAACCACATTCTGAAGATGTTCGCGATGTCATTCTTGATTATGAACGTGATCGACAGCAGCAACCAATGCTCGTTGTCTCGGAAGCAGCTATTCATGTCACACCTGAAGAAGTTGGGGGGGAACTGGGATAAGCGCTGTCGCATAGTCGCCAGGTGTCGCACCTGTCGCATAGTCGCCAGGTGTCGCATAGTACGCTGATTGGTGAATCTTGGCATACATGCGACCGCTTACAGTAAGGACGTCAAATCGCGGCAATTTCGGCCCAGCTAAGCATGGGCTTGGCCCCAATTTCTGCGAAATTTCCCCACTAGTTGTTGGGATGACGTCCTTCGATAATTCGTCTTGGCCAAAAGCTTCTGGGAACGGAACGCAGAATGTGACTTTATCGAGCCCTGCAAAGCTGCCGCTGGATCCGACACGAGCTGCTGCTGCTGCTGTGATTTTAGCGAATCTCGCATGCGGCATCCAGCTGCGAGAAAGATCCGATCTGATTCCGCTGTAACGATGGGATACAATCGAGGGATACGTTCCAGCGGCTCCACAATGAACCACGCACCCAGGTGCCAATCAAAGACCGACACGTGGAACACGTGCTCGCCTGTGGCGCCAACGCCCCCCCCTGCGAGAACGAATCCCGTCCCGCAAATTGCGGCGGCAGCCACGCCATAGCACTTAGCGCTGCCGTGCGGATTGCCGGGGGGAAGAGGGGGTAGCTGCCTCCAGAGAGGGGGCAATCCCCCCCTCCAGTAGTAATGCCGCTCACTACCGCGTTCCGCCTGAGCGCCGGGAATAGAGTCGGTAGTAACTGCGCAGTCAACGCCCGAGGCGCCGTAGGCGAACCACGCTAGCCGTTCTTTGTCGCGAGTGTCGCACACGCAGACGACGACCCGCGCCTCGGTCGCCGAGGTCGCAGTGATTCCTTGCACGCCTGTCGCCTGACCTTCGCTGCGACAAGGACGTCGAAGGCGACCAAATTGGCGGCTGCGAAGGGCGACAGTCCAGCGATGCGAGACGCATCGCGCAGCGGGAAGTTCCCAGAGGGAAACGCGTGTGAGGCATGCGAGTGCCACGTCATCAGGCAGACCGGGAATGAGCGCGGCTTGGGTGGCGGGAGGAGGCCCGCCGCGGGTGCGATAACCAAGCGCCACGTCTGCAGGTAGAAGAGGAGTGAACCTGACGGAGGAATCGCAGCCGGCGGGTTTGAGAGAATCGCGGCAGCCTGAGGGTAGAAGCGGATTGGTCGCGAGGCGGCGGAGGCCATCGTTGCTCTGCGCGGTGCAGCTATGGATTTGCGTCATTGCGAGTGCGACGGCAAAACCACCCAATCTTCTCCCCGCGGATCAATCTTAGTAAGACCGAAGACCGAAGACCTAGTAGACCTGAGAAAAAAAATGTGCGGAACAGAATCTGCTAACAATGGCCTTGTCAGCTTGACAAAATGGTTCTGGCTCTCCGGCCTTTCAGTCGCATTGACATCCTAAGTTGTGAGAACACAAATCTCGAGTTACGGTGACTCTTGATTGGCCCACGAGCCAAGATCTACATACCCTGAAGCGCCGATGTCGCAATGGGGAGAGGATAAGCCCCGGAGCCGCGGGCGGTGGTGGATATTCAGAAGGGCCGCACTCAAGCGGCCAATATAACGAGGCACGTGAGGAGGCTGTTGCGGGAAGGGAGGGAAAGCGATTGTGCAGGCAAGCGCGAAGGCTAATCTCTAGGCAAAGTTGCTAGGCCCGCTGAAACGAAGGGGAGGACTGCATACTGTGTGGGTCGTTTGGGGTCGGTCATGCTGTTGGAGCACGCCAAAGCACACACCTTCACAAATTGGACGACCCCTACATTGTACTGTACACTTTGTAGCTGGTGGTAACCCTGAGTCGGGACAAAGCCATGTGGTCACGACTCGCGACTCGCCATGCTCGGCTGCATGGCTTGCATGCCTGCCTGCTCAATGCTCACGCGCAGCATCGTCTTGCCGCGCATACCGAACTGGTTGTAGCTACTGCGTGTATGTGTAGAACCTCCACCTTACCACTACCACTTGTGAAAATACGCTGGCTCTTCAGGAACAACACCACGATCCTTCTCTCGAGACACGTCTGCCAGAGGGGAATCGTGAGTCGTGACCTGTATTTCTGTGACTCATGTCCCCCTGTCCCGCTCGTCGACCTCCACTTCGCATGATGTGGCTGCTGGCAGCAAGCAACGCATCCATGGGGGGACAGAAACAGACACCAGCCACCCACGCCCCCCCTATTGTGTGATTCGGCAAGAACGGAGGGCAAAAGTGTATTCCTGCTTATGACTTGTGGGTTGGGGTCGGATAGCACAACACATAGTATTGGGAGGGAGAAACTAGAATGCCACAAAAAAAAATGCGTGGAAAATCTTAGAAGACGTTGCATTTCAATTGGCCGGGAAGAAAATATCGAGAACAAAATGTTACAATTGAAATAAATCGTCTGATGTTGTAAGAGACTAAATATAAAACTACAAATGCCAACACTTGGCAAATCCTCAAGTGTTGGTCCAGGATCTTTGTTGGAATGGTAGACTAGTAAGACAGCGGAAGTCTTGTAAAATGTAAAGGTCAAGGTTGAATAACCTGAGTATGTGAACTTGTGAGTAAGCAAAGTTAAATATGAAAAAGACCTAACAAGAATTTATAGTTCTAGGAAAAGTACCTATTCGCTAATGTACCTTTCGTCACTATCGCGCTATGCGCCCTAGATGATAATGAAGAGATGCGATTGTTCGCGTGACTGAAATGACTGTCCTATGACGAGCGCTATTTGCTGACGTCATACTTACGGACTTATCTTCTACAGTATGATTCGACACTAACTACACTTAATCGACTTACAGAAATGCCAAGTACAAATTATATCACAACACTCCCCTTCATTTCTGGAAGTTCGATAGTGTCACTTCTTGAAGATTCCGCAGAGCTTGTTACAGTGTTGGAACTTCTATCGTGTCAGCTTCTTCGTGAGGAAATCGGCAGCCATTTCGTTGGTCGAACAGTAGACCAATCGCATTCTCCCCTTCTCGACTTCGTCCTTGACGAAAAAGTAACGCAGAGAAATATGTTTCGTCCTGTCGACGAAACCAGGCTGATGTGCAATACAAATTGCACTTTGATTGTCGCACTGTAGGGTAAACTGGGTAGTCGTCGTCAACTTCGCTTCTTCCAATAATTCCTGTAAGTAAAGTCCTTCGCGTGTTGCTGTGCAGACAGCAATAAACTCAGCTTCAGCAGAGGAGAGAGCAATCAGCTCCTGCTTTGTAGAATTCCAAGAAATAGGTCCGATAGGTTCAAGCCGGTATATGAATCCAGTGCGCGATCGTCGGTTAGTAGAGTCAGCAGCGTGATCGGCGTCGACGAAACCGTGTAGATATAGTGTTTTGCAACCGATGACGTTGTAGACTAAACCGATGTTAGGTGTCGAGATGAAATACTGAAGCGCACGGAGAAGATCAAGCTGATGTTCTTTTTCGGGACGGCGGAGGAACTGAGCGAGCTGACTGGCCGCGTAAGCTAGATCGGGACGACATGTGACATCGGCGAAGAGTAGACAGCCTAACTGCTGTTGATAGATCTGTAAACCAGTGTTGGATTTGTAGTCAGTCGGTAGTGAGCGGTACGGTGTAGAGACTGCAGTAGGTGTGAGGTTGAAGCGGGCAGCGAGCGTTGCTGCGTACTTCGAAGCGGTGAGATGAATAGTCGTCGGTGAACAACTAATATTCAGACCAAGAAACTATGAGACTGTTTCGGAGACGGTAAGCTGCAGAGATTTCTGTAATTTCAGTATGAAGTTATCGGCAAGGTAATCGGTAGTGCTAACGAAGAGGATGTCATCGGCGTAGGCGACGAGTGAAATGTAGTTGCTGCCGTCGTTTAGAAGATACATTCCCTGGTCATGCGGTAACTGTCGAAATCCGGCAGTAATCAGTTGTGAGTGAAGGTATTGCTGCCAAAGCCGTAGTGCCTGTTTAATGCCGTACAGGGATTTTTGTAGACGGCATACGCTCGGTGGGTTAGTAACATAGGAATGCGGGTACTCTACCAGGATGAGTGCGTCGACGGGCGCGTAGAGAAACGCATTAGATACGTCGATTTGTCAAAGTCGCATATTACGGCAGGCGGCGACACAGAGTAGGATCCGAACGCTTGTATGTCGGCCGACAGGAGCAAAGGTTAATTCATAGTCGATGCCGTAAGTCTGTTCGAATCCGCGGACGACCCATCGCGCCTTGAACTTTTCAAACGACCCATTTGCATTAGTCTTGACACGGAAGACCCATTTTCCGGTAAGTACCGTCTTCCCTTTTACTTCTGAAGTCGGTATTAAGTCCCATGTTCCGCGATTCTTGAGGGCTGCTAGCTCTCTGTCCATGGCTTCGCGCCATTTCTCTCGGTAAGGACTCGTAAGAGCTTGTCGGACGGTTTTTGGTTCAGGTATCTTAATGTTGTTGCACTGTACTGCCAGTGCAAATCCCAGTATCTGTAATCCAGTTTTTGTAAAACGGGGACGTTCTTCGTTTACACCTGCGAAATTTTCTTCTACTCCTTCTTCCCCCCCAATTTCGTCAGGTGTAACACGAACTGCTTCGTCGGAGACGGCGGGCATCGGCTGCTGTTGGCGATCGCGTTCGTAACTGAGACGGACTTCGCGAACGTCATCCGGGTCAGCATCTGCAAGAGGAATAAACTCTGGTATGCCAGTCGAGGTTACAGGTTCGGGAATGTCAGTTGCAGCAGCTTCGGATGCTTCAGAAACGGCTTCGTCCTGTACATCAGCTTCGGCCTCGTTAGTTGCAAATGCACACGAGCCTTCGAACAGCCTGGCGGGGTTAGCAGCTGCTGCCTGGTGGGCACGAAAAATGGGCAAGGTGAGTCGTTCGTAAAAAAGACAATCACGGGATGGGACGACTTGGTCGGAGCGAAGATCCAAAATCTTCCATGCGTGATACTGTTTTTCGATGCCGAGGTGTACCCCCCATTTTGCTCGTTCGGAAAATTTGCCGAGAGCCGCAGTTGGAGGACGAAATTGTACAAGACACCCAAAAACTCGTAAAAGTTTGGTGTTTCCCAATGTACGTGTCCACTGCAAGTGCGGAGAAGAAAACTCGGGCAGGGACGTTGAAGAAAGAAGATTGTGTAACAGTACGGCGTGGTCCATCGCATATGGCCAAAAACGCGGTGGAAGTGCTGCTTGTGTCAGCAGAGCACGCATCTTCTCCTGCAGAGTCCTGTTCATCCTTTCTGCTACCCCCATCTGTTGGTGTACATGCGGCAGAGACTGCTTCCGTTTGATGCCGAGAGTCTAAAGGTATTCTGTGAAAGTATTGCTGGTGTACTCCCCTGCACCGTCGCTCTGGAATTCTTGCAGTTTCACGCCAGACTCTCTTTCAGCGACAGCGAGCCACGCGACGAAAACGGAGTGCGCGAGATAACGCGCGGGAAGATTTGCTGTCCAGACATAGCGTGTAGACGCTTCGATAAATGTGATGACATACTTCTCGTCTTGAGGTCCTGCTTCAGGTAAGTTTAGTATGTCGCAATAGACCTTCTGCATCAGTTTGTAACGAGTTGAGCCAGGAAAGTGGCTTGGAAACGGATCGTGGGTAAGGTTGGCAACTGGACAGGTGGTGCAAACTGTCGGTCGAGACTGCGGCTTCAGCTCCGTGCCGTCAGGTAAAAGTAGACTATTCTTGTCAAGAACTGCTGCTCGAATTGAATGATTAAGTATCCCTTGTGATGGGTGGCCTAACCGCTGATGCCATATATCTTCTGTGGCTTTGTGTCCTGATGAGCGCAGGTAGAAATCGGAGTTAGTATAAAAAGAAGAAAGAATGAAAGGAGAAAGTGCTGGTGACTTTTCAATCTCTCCTTCGACGAAACGGGTAAGCGGTAACGAGACATTTGAAGGTGCTGCTGTAGTTGCGAGTACAATTTTTGACACTGCTTCTGTTGATGTCGTGGCAGAAATTTCGGCGACAGCTACTGTTGGACTCGGCTGCTCAGCTACTTCTTCCTGTTCGGCTTCTTCAACGACGTCTCATCAGCTGCTAGTCCACTAATTTCTCCCCAAAGTGGTGCTGGAGTTCCTTGGAAGGCGGCACGGGTATTATAAAACGTTCGCCACGCGGTGGCACTTTCATCGGCGGTATTGAACTCCCAGGTATCCAACGCGGTTAGTACGGCGGCTGCAGTTTGAGAAGCTGTTGGTACAGTAGTTGCTCGAAAATCAATATCCACGTGTTGATAATCTGTTTCTTCTGGGTGATCCCAGGGACCAAGTGCAAGCACGCGTTCAGAATCTCCAGAAGTTCCCTGTGCTGCGAACTGAAGAACTGACACGCCATGTTGAGTGGCGGCACGACCAAGATAGGTATTCGTTGAACTGTGCCAGAGCTCCTGATCCATCGTGTCACAATTGCCCTGTGTGCGGATTTTGTGTGCCAGAAGTTGAGCTGTGAGAGTACGACCCCGTTACACCACTTGTCCTATTCTTATCTCCTTCCTATTTCGTTCTTCTTTTTATCTCATCTCATTTGGTTTCCTATTCTCCATTCTTCCATTATCCTTTGGTTGATCCTGCTATTATAATTATATCACCGACCAGGCTTGGGATGTACTAGCACATTATCCAGCGTAATCCTGCCGTAATCCCTTAAAGCCAATGGCCTCGCGCGGCTATACGCAGGGTGATTCTATATTCTAGAAGGGTCTATTCCTTTGGATAGGATAAACCTGGTTACCTGATGTACTCTGGAAGTATAAAAGCACCTTGTACTGATCGATAGTGCAATCGATCCTCGAGTCATTCGATCCTGTGACACTTGGTAATCAGAGCTTTTCTCACTCGGCCGCGCTCAACAAAGCAGCAGCAGCGGGAAAATCTGCCTCGAAAAACCGCCGGGGGCGACGAATTCGACGCCGATTCTGGTAAGCACCAGCTCCGCGTTTTGTGAATTCCCCCTCCCGCGCGTGTTTTGAACAGGATGGCAACCTTCGACAACGCCGAGGTTACCCAGCAACTCTTCGCGCGCATCGCCGCTCTTCAGGAGGAGCTGCGAGCGGATCGCGAAGCGTGGCGAAACGAGTTCAAGCGAGTAACTCGACTCGCTGGAGCGCAGCACGACTCGACAACGGCGACGACGCAGCAGTCGCAGCAGTTTCTCGAGGCTCCAAAACCGCGCCCACCTGAGCCGTTCGATCCGAGCGATCGAAACTCCGACGCCCGCAGATGGATCGCCGGGATGGAGATCTACTTCGCAGCCGTCGGATGGAGCTCGCCAGTCTGGGACGGTCAACGCGTACGACTCGCGGCGACAATGATGCGAGGGCCGGCACTCGAGTGGATTGGCGGCAACAGCACCTTCATCCACGGTGAAGCCACGTGGCAGCAGTTCCGCGCCGACCTGCTCAAACGATTCGAGCCGATAAATTCAGGTTTCCTTGCCCGCGAAAAAATTCATCGCCATCGACAGTTCGGGAGTGTAGCACAGTACACGCAGCAGATGGAAGAATTTTATAACCGAATTCCCGACCTGACCGAAGGGGAAAAAGTGCAATCGTACCTCGCAGGGCTGAAGACCGAAGTCAAACGACAGGTGGCAGCGTCAAACTACGCGAGCTACAGTGACGTCGTTTCGGCAGCGGAGCGCTTCGACATGGTCAACGCCGGAACACGACGGACGCACGTCGGCAGTACGCGACAAGGCGACCGCTCGGCTCACACCACGTTCGCCGACCCGATGGAGATCGACAGATTCGACGGGCGGCCACGTCCGAAAAACACCAACTACACGTGTGATTTTTGCGGGGTGCCGGGCCACCAAATCTTCGACT